TAGCTTTATTGGCATGAATGTAATAACAACATTGCCAAAGCATCATATATACACAACATAAGAACAATCAGCCCCATACATTTCATTAAACAATTAAATTACATATGAGAAAATATGCATTACATATGAGCGGAATTTCTTGACGTACAGAAAAGTCCCTCACACCCACACAATCATGTGCATTATATGGCGAGGAGCACCAATAAGTAACCATTAAAATGCATTAAAGAAGATAAGGAGAATGAGGGCTGTCCCCAGCTAAATTTGGCTAATGCTTAAGCTCCATTCGTTGGTTGGCAAAAATTTTCACAATCATGAGTATATACATGGCATCAGGCTAAAAGACTGAGGCTAAAGCTACATGTCGTGGGTCATGTCATTATCCCTACCTGTTGATGATCTATAGAAGACATGGAAATAAAGTTGGAGCATTGTTTGTGAATATCACAGTAGACTTAGTGAGCCGTAATATGAACATTATAAATAACAAAATAATTACAATGTGATTTGTTCACCCATAACCCTTTATGTAGTGTTTGGAAAGGTGATAAAATATATACCTCTTAAAACACTTTATACACAGAATATCTCTCTTACTAATCATCATGTGGAGAAATCCAATCATTGATGACCTTCCCTGCTTGGTTATGGTTGATAAGATATGATTGGATAATCTCTGTTCATGGGTTTAGTGAATGTTCAATTAGCCAGCTGCTCTGATGTTTCTGGCTTTTGAGATTCAATTTCTAAACATTGCTGTATATCCACCCACCAGTTGTTTCTGTTGGATCTTTTCCCTCAAAAGCCAGCTTCATCTATCATCTTTTGCTGATGTGTCCAGTTGTTTCCGTCAATTACAGGACACCACAGTAGAGGCTGTTAATTGAATACTTAATGTCCATGTCCCTTCTTAAAAGATCAGAATAGTTCACCTTTACAAAGGAAAGGCTGAGTCTGCCTGTGTGGGCTGAAACCCATTATTTATAACATGGGAGACATGTGGTGTTGTTGTATATGAAGTCAAATGAACCATTGAGAGAGCCAACATTTCTGTTAACCATGGTGTCAACAGCAAAACCACCTAAGATGTTCAGACTCAAAAAAGTCTGCACTTCGCTTTCCAGATGATGTTTATTACCTGAGAAAGAGACGAGCAGACAGGAAACTTAGATTCACACGTCTGATGGAAGGAAAGACCTTCTTGTGAATGTTGTAAAAACGTGTGAGCAGGTTTATCATGGCAAGCATGAGAAAAGTGGTAAGATTAACAAATTGCTGGATGCCTTTTTCACCTAGAAATTGTTGCGTTTGGGAGCGTAAACCTACAGGGAAACATACAGATCTTTCAAAATCATGCTCTCAGTTTATCAGTTAGTTTCTTCATGGTGGGACTTCAACTCTAGTTATGTCATCTGTCAGGTACACTCAGCACTTTCGCAAAGAAACTGACTTATCTGTGATGCCAATAGCCAAATTTAGCAGCTGTCACCACTTACCCTACTTTTACCATTGGGTGTGAAGGATGAATAATAGAAGATGGATGAGAAAATCTGCCCTCTCTCTAGTGAGACAGCCTGTGTACAGCTTTAAAACTAAGTCTGGATGCCGACACCTGCTTAGTTTTTTTCACATAGCAGAGTGTCCTATATCTCATTCATCAGCCACATTATTCAGGACACTCTCCGTGTACCACATTTTGTTTTGAAGCAGTGGTTGACTGCTTGGCTACAGCCCTCTAGATAGTCACAGTTTAGGACCAAAATACTAAATATCTCTGATCATTTGGTTCAGTATGAACCCACACATCATGTGAGATTGTTCATCAGTCATTATTGAGTAATCTACTGATTACTTTCTCAATTAATTGATAAATCTTTTGGTCTATGACATGTCTGAAAATAGTTAAAAATTCCCATCACAACTTCTAAGAGCCTAAGTTGACATATTTTGTCTGACCAGCAGTCCAAAACCCAAAGCTATTCACTTTACTATGATAGACGACTATAAGAACACCAGCAAATATTAACATTGACAGGCTGGAATCAGCACATATTAGGCATTTTTTCTCGAAACATCACTTCTTAAGCAAAGAATCCATTATCAACAATATTGCAGAATAATATCGACAATTAAAGTTTTAGTTGCATCTAGGGTTGCGAATTGCATCCAGCAGCTCAAGGTGTATTTGAAAGCAGGACCCTCCCCAAGGTTATTAATATTTGTTTTCAACCATGTGTTAATGGAACAATAATTGCTACATAGCACACATGGAGATCAGAATAAGTTCTGTTAATCTGTTTTCAACCTGTCTGTTTGAATTATTTTAAGATCTACACCTTTTGTCATTATTTATTTTGTGTTTTATTAGGGGTCCAAGCCCCGGCTTGGACCCCTAATACAACCCCTAATACAATTATTCGGGTTCCCCTGGGAACCCGAATAAAATGGGAACCCTATTGTAATCGTTCTCGTTTGTATTATTTTTTTCTTCCGTACGTAAAACTCATACTGCAGCCTAGACGGTAAGTGCTAGGGACGTGAAAATCATAGGGTAGGTCCAACTCTTGTCAATGACCTCAGGTGAAATAATTCGCACACTTCTACCTCTAGGGGGCGCTATAAGCAAGGTCAACCCGTTTGGGCTTGGAACTACCGCCTACGAAGGCGCATATAAAAAACCTTATGTCCACGCGTTCGGGGGATCGAGCTGAATCTCCTGGTTTAGGCCACGCCCATTTCCGCCTAAACTTTTTTTCGCAACATTGTGAAAACTGAAAAACCTATTTTAAGTAACTCCTCCGAAGCCACAAGTCCAGTCGGCATCAAATTTGGGGCACCCGGGCCGACTCACGCGCCCTCCATGGCGCCAGTAGACTTGGACCCTGCTTACAACTGCTTGCAGTTCTAGTTCTTATTTATGTTCTTCTGTCCTCTTTATCTCCAGGTGCTGCTACCTCCCTATGATGACAGTGTCAGTGTCCCTCCCAAGCAAGCTCCTCCACTTTACACCACCGCGACAGCATGAAAACATTCCCAGCATCCTGCTGAATGGAACCTGCTGTTAATAAAACCCCAGCAAAATGTGTGCACCACACTGCCTCTCCAGTGTACAGTATATTCATGGATATATTGTTGCTACTCACACACATTACAGTACACCCATGAAATAATCTCACACCACCGTGACCTCTCATCCCTTCCTGTTATTTACTGATGTTCTTGCTGTTACTCTTCCATGTATCCTTTCTGTTTCAGTGTTATTCCAGAAATGATTTTTATGCATTTGAAACCGGGTGTAATAAGGCACTAGAGATATAGATGATAGATTCTATATATTTGTATTCATTCTATTTACGCTGTTTATGTACCTGTAATAGTGTTTTACGTGCCCTACCTTTGATAGACATGTATAACTAATGCACAGACGCAAAAATGCCGATCTTATTGCCCACGGTAATGAGTGAAGAGTCGTCACGTGTTTCCTGGCTGTCTTGTCTCTGCTCGTGATCAGGGTTGGATTGCCTTTATTCGTAACTTGCTGTCTGATGGGGTGCCCTTTAAAGATCCATGTGTGACGTGTCACCTTCTCCCAAAGAAATGCATCTGCCTGTATTCCGACATGATCAAAGAGCAACCTAGTGTATATCGAACATATCACTTTCTTTTACTGTTTTAGTCAACTGCAGACGGAATTGTCTTGTGTTATAAATAATCAGGAGTGTCGAGGTGTGCTGGTTGACCTTCGTAACTTTTAAATGTAATGTGTGTTTCTACTGATTGACACGAAATGTTCTGGGCTGCTATTGATCTATTTTGATAGCACAGAAGTAGCACTGATCTGGAATCAGTTTGCTCTTTGAAGTTTTTATGAATGAGTTGCTTGAGGGGAACCTGTTGCAATGACTCTAGATTGGGTCTCTATGTTCAGGAGCTCAATAAATATGGACCCTGGGTGTGTTTTTTCAATTAAGGGGAGCTATGGGAGCCTCTGGTCTGTGTAAAGACACAGGTCTGTTCCACCAGATGCAGTTATTGGCAAGCTGCTCCCTGGACACAAAATGTCCTGCAAGGACACAAAAGTCAAACCCGAGGTCTGCTGCTGTATGACTAGATGTGACATTTATTTGTCTATTAAAATCTAATTTCACTTACAGATGTTTGTGTTTTATTTAGTGCAAGCTTGTGCACAACCCCAAAAGGTAGTTTGTGTTATTAACAAATGATGTAAAAGGAAAATGGTTCAGATTGTTTCTGCTGTTGACACTGACTCTGTATGCTCATATATGCCCCTGGAAAGTAATAGTAGGTGACTGTGTATAAAAGTGCTCATTGTGTGGTACCCCCACAATGGTTGGAATTACTTACCAGGTCTTTCCATAAACTGCTACTCAAATGAGGATGTGCAGGGTTCATCTGAGCATCACTTGTAAAATGACAATTCAGTCAATTTCACAGTGGCTATTAGACTGCAGGACAACATAAACAGTATTTTTTTCAAACGTGTCAAAAATCTGGCACCCCAGTTTATAACAGCATTGCTTATGACATGTAAGTGGACACCATCTAACACAAGTTCAGGTTCATAGTTAAGCCTTTATACCAAGTATTCCAAGTTATCGCATGAATGATGCACACATCCTTTAAAATATGTAAAGGATCCCACAAATCTCTGAATTAAATGTCTTCAATGTCCCTTAAAGTGAAGGGGTGCAGGCTGCTTAGATAAACCTTACTGTTTATATTTTCTTCATTCTTTACTGTAAGAGCATTTGGAGTGTGAGCTCATGCCCACTCCATCTAGATCTTAATATGAAATGTGTAAAGACTTTGAAGACGTAAAATGAAGGGGTTCATTCCCAGCTTTATGTTAGAAAAAGTATCCCCAGAGTTACCAACAAGCTGAGCCGAATGAGAGGCATTTCCGTGGTTGGAAGAGGGGGAGTAAACACCAGAAACAGAGAGTGGATGGAGTAAGGGGCAGAGCAATGCAAGTGCCGAGTCAGATACAAAAAGACAGGAGGCTGGGATATACGCATGTTTACAGTCTGGAGCACCTAGATTGACTGCGTCTTCCTGAGTCTTCCTCTCTTGGCAGTTGGGTTTTATTGAGAAGGAGCTGAGGAATTGTTGGTTCTGATAACAGGGTAAGTCATTTTCAGTTTATTTTCCGGATTGCGTGACTGTGTTTAGCTGATGGAGCACTACAGGCTCTGCTTGCATACTGATTTGTTTTCTTTTGTTGTTGGAATAACCACTGACATAAGTGTTTCTTTTTTTAACTTAAAAAAAGACCTGGTAAGTGGAATCACCAGCTGCCACCTGTACTCTGTGTTTACTTCATCATCTTAGTTTCCCTCACCTGCATCATGAAAAGCCATCAAAGACAGGGAATTTGCAAAACAGACATGAGGTCCCATAAAACAGTTAGGTACATGCTGTTTTTGAGTTTCATAGTAAACACACAGCCTTGGCTTAAATTCATGAGGAAATGTGAGACGGGTTGCTCTTCCCAACATTTTATTCACGTACTCACAATGTTTATGTCACTAATAATTCACATTTAAAAGAAAATGTAACGGATAATTATGTTTCCATGCTTTCTTTGCCACTGATGGATTTGGGTCTTTTTAAATCATCACCAGACTTAATATTTTGGAAAATGTTTTTCCAAATGGTGTACATGTTAAATAAATCATCTGGTTAAAATTGACAGTGAATGACGGCGTTATGGAACATGACGAATATTTAAGCCTGTTACTGGTTGGAGGTCTATGGGACTTGAATAGATTGTACTTGTATTTCTTTTACTGAAGAAAACTTTGTCAGACATGTGGCAAAGAGACATCAAACAGATATGAGGTCAGAGGTCAACAGCTCTGTGTGGGATGCCACTCTGTGACCCCTACAGGTCTCAGGACAGCTGCTACCATATACATGTCTTTGCAGGACTGTTCATCTGACTGAGCTTCGACCTGACTGAGCTTCGACCAGACTGAGCGCTGAGTCACTGTCATCACCCTGAACAGAGCTGAGAGAGCTGTTCAGAATTAAGCTTACATGCTTCTTTAGAACAACAATTTGTCCTATTTGAATGTGAATATATTTGCTGTTCCTACGCTGATCACAGTCAGGTTTCAGACAGCAGTGGAGCCTGCAGTCTGATTATGACAGGTAACGATGGCTCTCCTGGGGACTGGATAGGGAAACAGTCTGTGGTACTTTTCAGTCTCCTTTAAATCACTTCAAACCACCTATGCAGCAAAACATCCAAAAAACTCATTCATGTGGAGTTTTGTCGACTTCATATGATGACAGATGGGAAAGCTTGGCTCTCACGTGTAGCCAACACTCATTTAGATACAGAACCCAAAATGCAATGCTGTCATAAATTAATAAGTGAATATGATATTTTTACCATGAGACTATGTCATGTGAAATGTGCTATTTCCAGTGACTCTACATAACCTATGCGATTCTCTGTGCATTACATCTATACGCACTAAACTGTGAAATCTGAAGCTGAGCGGGTCGAAAATGCAGGAGGTGAAAGTTCTAACTTAAATGTAGAACTTAACTAGTCTCTTTACGGACACAGAGCCACTATATTTGTTTCCTACACCAAGGAGGTTATGATTTCAATCCTGTGTGGTTGTTTGCCTATTACTTAGCAGCATAACTTACAGATTTCAGTGAAAACACTATGGGAATGGCAGGAAGAATTTGGTTTTTGGTGTGGATAGCGCCACCATGTGGTCATTTGTAAAGTACATAACATTTTTTTTGAGAACCATGAACCTTATTTTTTCCTGGTTTTCTTGGTTCAAAATAAAGTTATTTTCACTCATTTTCTTAGTCAGCTTCAATCAGCTTTGTGTTTCCTGTCTATGATTTTCTAATTGATTTGAAGTGGGCATGGATCGGTTTAAAAAAGGGTAATGTCACATATTTTGTGTTTTTTTTTCATTTTGACAGCAATGTCAATCAAATCTGATCAATCCAGACCTACACAATCCAGATGATGCAGATTAGCTGAGATTTTTAGTTTGAACTTTTAATCATAGTGACTTACTTGATGTTTTTTCCAGTTAAGTTTAAGTTCAGCTTAATTAAGGATTAATTATTGCTCATGTTAGCCATGAATCTTAAAGGTCAAAATTTTATGCCATTAAGTTGGTGATCCAGCAACATAGAAATATTTTTTGCAGTAAATCAGTGGTTATGATTCTGACTTATACAAAACCCCTAGATTCCCAGACAGCGTGGAGGTGATCTCCAAAAATAATGACCACCATCAGCCAGTCAGCAGCATGGTTTCCCTTTTGTGATGCAGATTAGAATCCAGACGCAGATTTTCTTGGGCTTTTTTATACTTCCTTCTTGCCCTCTTGTGTCTCTCTTCCATGCAGGCTTCTACTTTCTGCATTGTGAGAGTATACTTCTCTACTCTTATTGTGCCTCTCTGTAAAGGCCTAAAGGCTGCAGCTGTCACCTCTTGTCAGAATGAGGTCCCTGGCCCTCAGCCTCTTCTGCCTGTTGTGCTGTAATGCAGTTCGACTGGACAGACGGCGTCCCAGACCCATTACAGCCAGAGGGCAAAATGAGACTAGTGCCCAAACCACAGCAGTGGGTAAGCAGTTGGTTACAAAAATGTGTGTTTTGCTGGCTGCACTTTTGTGTATTCTATTTAAGATACAAAGTCAAAAAGGTGTATAAAATCTACTTCATTTTGCACCAAAGTGAGTTTGCAGTGTTTGGTTCCCTGATCACAAACCTCCATGCCTATTCTCACAGAGAATCCTTGCAAACCCATCCCGCTGGATTTCGTCTTTGTCATCGACAGCTCCCGAAGCATCCGCACGAATGACTATGAAAAGGTGAAGACCTTCATCATCAACCTGCTTCAGTTCCTTGAGATCGGCTCTGATGCCACTCGGGTTGGTCTGCTGCAGTATGGCAGCGTGGTCCAGCCAGAGTTCTCCCTCAGCACCTACACCACCAAGGCAGAGGTGGAGCAGGCGGTGAGGAACATGCAGCACCTTGCCACAGGAACAATGACCGGTCTGGCCATCCAGTACACAATGGAGACAGCCCTCACTGAGGAAGAGGGTGCACGACCAGCAAACCTGCACATCCCACGAATCGCTATGATTGTGACTGATGGGCGGCCTCAGGACAAGGTGGATAAGATTGCAGCACAGGCGAGGGAGGCCGGCATCCAGATCTTTGCTATCGGAGTGGGCAGGGTGGATATGAACACTCTGAAGGCCATAGGGAGTGAGCCACACTCTGAGCATGTGCACCTGGTGGCCAACTTTAGCCAGATAGAAACCCTCATCTCTGTGTTCCAGTCCAAACTGTGTGGAGGTGATGAATCCCATCTCTTTTTAATCCTAATGTCCCACCTCACTTATGTATGTATGTGTGTTTGCACCCTTTTGTTTTAGTATCTGTGTTTGTGTTTGTGTGCATGCGTGTGTTAGGTTCGGAGATGTGTGAGGTGGTGGACCATCAGTGCCAGCACATCTGTGTGAGCAGCCCTGCATCATACAGGTGCAAGTGCAGGAACGGCTTCATCCTCAACCCCGATGGCAAGACATGTAAAGGTGAAGGAACTCCTTTTATTTCATCTAATCTGTTCTGTATAAAAAATCTATTTAAAAAGATGAGTACTCTTTTTATATTTGCACAGTTTTCATACCTCGAGGATGTCAAGTGCCACCATTTTTTTTGTTCACAAATCAGCTTTACTTTCCCACAGACAACATGACAAAAGGACAAGCTCTCTTTGTTTGACTAAAGCACTAAAATGCAGTAGCAGGTAAACATAGCAAAGACATATAGCAAAGCCAGCCAAATATTTCCCTCAGGAGCTGGAAGAGACCAAATCAGAGTTAAAAGGAGAGTGAATATGGGACAGTGTTGTGTTTACAGCTTGTCTCCACTGCTTCCAAGTGGCCAATAAACCCCCAAAACAAGTTGTTACAGGTTTTGTTCTGCAAACTCCACTGTAGATGACAGTTGCGTTTCTCTTCATGTCGTCACTCTCTAGCTGAGGATATGTGTGCTGTCGTGGATCATGGTTGTAAACACATCTGTGCCAACATACCTGATGGCTATGAGTGCCGCTGCCGTCCAGGATATCAACTCAACATAGACCTGAAGACATGCAACAGTAATAATACATTTTTCACTTTACCAGATACTCTTCTTTTCCTTCTCCATCTCTAGTGGCCTTAACCTCTTCCTTCACTTGCTCTTTTTGTTGTTTGTTTTAATGTATTCTGCATTTTGATATATTTGTCTGTGCCATACAGACCTAAACTAAACTGAACAAAAATGTTACTCAGTTGCATACACCTGTGGATATTTTTCCAGCTCCATCATTTTTCAGTAAATTTAATCCCTTGAAACAGTCCAAACCTGAATTTTTAATTTTGAGAATGCACACATAACAAGACCAGTGGGAGGTAGTTAAGTCCATCAAAATTAAAAACATGTTTTCCAGTATACCATGCTTTACTCTGCAGGTTTTTCCTTCAGGGATGTGTCTCTATTGTTTCCTCAGTCACGTGACTTAAATTACCATAAGTATACAAAACAACATTACCATAATCTTTTTTTTAAATATTTTTTCGACAATATTTACTCCTAATGGATAAAGGGCCACCTTGAGGAAGGCATGCTAATCAAAAGTGTGTGGTGAATAAAACACATTATTGCTGCTGGACTTGGATCTTCAATCCAAATATGAGCCAGCATTCTTCCCACCACTGATGTCCCCCCACCCACTGTTGGAAAATTTCCCTTTTGCTCCTCTGGTGAATGTTAACAGAAAGTAAAGTGGGGGAGATTTCCTGAAGGAAGTGTGCTTTTGCAATCATCAGAGCAGCTGCTGAAATGTGGAGGTGTATCCAGGGTGTCACAGTATCAGCGAATCGAAACAAGAATGATTATTTTAGAGTGAGTTAGATTTTTGATGAATGGAGTATAGATTTCTCTTTTGTCACATTTCTTTTTAAGCTTTGAGTATTTTGTTCTTGTATTCTTGGAATATATGTTGAATACCTCATGCATTCTGAATAATTTAGGGAAAACAATAGATATTCTACAGCTACAGTACTAGTAGTAGAAGATGTCCCGATGTTAGAGACAGCAGAGGTATTATAGTATGAGCAGAAGTAATATTGCATTAATAGGATGCATCCTCCTCAGAAATAGACTACTGTGACCTGGGGAACCATGGCTGTGAGCACGACTGTGTCAGCGTTCCAGAGTCCTACTTTTGCAGGTGTAAGAAGGGCTACGTCCTCAATCAGGATGGCAAGACTTGCAGCAGTAAGTGCTTATATCTTGTGGTAATCAGGTAAAACACAACAGCAACGGCTAAGCAGATAGATGCAAGTCGAGACAGGTGACACAGATTTGCGTTCTTGCACAAATGAGAGCCACTGAGATAGAGGAAAATAAAATAGGACGCAATGAGATGAGTTGTTATTATTAATCAAACATTGTTTAGAGCTGCACAACAAAGCTTAGTTGTAATGTGTGAATTGCTTATTATTTTTATCAAATAATTGGAGATTGTGATATTTCCAATTCACAAATAACAATCTTGGCCAGAGCAGGAACCAACAGATTCCTAAATTTGCTTCTTTTCTCTTACATCTTTTCTTACAAATACTGCTTAATCCTGCTTGTCCTGATAATCTTCCCGCAGAGATTGATCACTGTGCTGTTGGCAGCCATGGGTGTGAACAGGAGTTCATGAATACAGAAGATGCCTGTGTGTGTAAATGCAGGAAAGGCTACACGCTCAGACCTGATGGGAAAACATGCAAGAGTAAGTGTCCATTGCTTCTTTCCTCATATTGCTGTGTGATATGTGTATTTTAAAAAAGACTCAGAGTAAGACATCTTTCACAGTGATTTATTGATTTACATCATGTGTATGCTGTAAATGTGTGCTATATACATCAATAACTATTGTAGACCTGTTTTTCATGAGTCCTGGATTTTCGTCCGACATGACTGGAAGCATGTTGACTGTAGCACAAGAAGAAACTTGATAATGAACCCAGACATGATACACGTAATCATGGTGATAAATACTTTCCATGGGTCAGACTGGATGGCAGTTAAGAGTTATTTTATTTTCTCAGTTATTACTCTCCTGAATGTTTCCTGCAGAGATAGACCATTGCGCTGATGGAAAACACGGCTGTGAACAGGAGTTTATGAATACAGAAGCTTCATGTGTATGTAAATGCAGAAATGGATTCACACTCCGACCTGATGGAAAAACATGTCAAAGTGAGTCCATGCTCATTCATTCTCATAAGTATTTAGTGACCTGCAGCCAAAGGATATGATGTGTGCATTCAGACACACTGATTTGATGGGATACTACAGAATAGAATTGCCATAAAATAGATGACATTTATTAAATAATGTAAGATTTGTTGCAGTGAGTCTTTTTACTTTTTCTGTTGTGAGTGATTCAGTGTGGAGGCTTCGGAATAATTTTCATATTTTAAATATTTGAATATTAAACTGCAGATAAGTAAAGAAAAGCATGACTTCAAAGTAGTCTTGATCACACATTTGGCATTACAAAAAAAACAACGTAATTGATATTTGTGTGAGGCAACGTGGACAAAGTTCCGAATATAATCTTTCATCAGCATCAAATGCTTCAAATGTCCTCTGTCCTGGTATTTACACGTTACGTCATGTTGAATGAATTTTGAACTATTTGTGAGGTCAGTGTTAATCCTGGTGCTCAGAAAAAATTCTGTTTCCCTCCCCTAGATTAAGGGGATATTCTGTGTTTATGTTTACCACCATGCTTCATTCATATCTTCAGTCTGTTATTATTCTGATGACAAAGACAGAGCACCTAAAGTTACAATATTGCGCATTGTAATTGTAATCTGGCCAACAACTCTGAGCCGTTCACATTATATAATATAAATAAAAAAAACTGGATTCTTAATGTGCCACAGCAACATTTCTAAAATTCAACTCACAGGTCTGGATCTGTGTCAGACAGTGGACCATGGCTGCGAACACCAGTGTGTCAGCACCACTGACGCCTACATCTGCAGATGTTTTGAAGGATTTATGTTGGCTGAAGATGGGAAGAGCTGTAAAAGTATGACCTCAGCTTTATGTGATATAGACCCTCTCTCTCGGAATTTAAGTAAAAATACATAAAACATGTATTTGATGTCCTTGTTTCTGACAGAGCCCGAGTGTGGCGATGGAGTCATGGATCTGGTTTTTGTAATCGATGGCTCTAAGAGTCTGGGCCCTGCCAACTTTGAGCTGGTCAAGCGATTTGTAAAGGGCATTGTGGACTCGCTGGACATTTCCAGGACAGGCACACATGTTGGCCTTCTTCAGTACTCCACCAAGGTCCGCACAGAGTTCACCCTGGGCCAGTACACCACAGCGCAAGGCATCAAACAGGCTGTGTCCCGGATGCAGTACATGGGGAGAGGCTCCATGACTGGCTCAGCCTTACGTCACATGTTTGAGTTTAGCTTTTCAGCTAAAGAAGGAGCAAGGCAGAACATCCCACATATCGGCATTGTGTTTACTGATGGGAGATCACAGGATGATGTGTCCGAATGGGCTACTAAAGCAAAGAAATCTGGTAGACGTATTATCCTGCCTTGCCATTCAGATGCACTACAGTTTTTTAATCAAACTAAGTTCTTTCTAAAAGGTGTTTCCAGTCATTATCTTGTTTTCTGTTACTTTCAGGGGTCACAATATATGCCTTGGGTGTTGGCAAAGCCATTGAACAGGAGCTGAGAGAAATAGCTTCAGAGCCTGATGAGAAGCACCTTTTTTACGCTGAAGATTTGGAGAACATGGGGGAAATTACAAAAAAGCTCAAGTCCAGGATATGTAAAGGTACTTCCATTGCCTGAACTTGCAGTTTGTCAAAAGACACTTCAACCCACAAAACAGGGACTCTAATTGTGTGAAAGTGCTCCTAATTAAAATCTATAAGAAAGTCAGTTTACTATTTGCACTGTTTTGCGCCATTTGATCTAAAGCTCAATCCTACAAGGCAGTTTCTTGAAAATATTCAGTGAATACTTTCTTCAATTGCTTGGCAACACTGCCACCTGCTGCTGTTACGACGATCGATAATTTGAGTAATGCTGTACATTTTTTTATGCAGCAGCACTGTGCAATTCTCCACAACACATACCTCATCTGTCCTTTGTGCACTCCTAACTGTGTCCCACCCATATCTACTACATTCTCTACAGGCAGAGACAGGAAGGGAAGCAGGGAAAGATTAGAGAGATAGGGCGAGGAAAAGTGTGAGATAGGGAAGGGGGGGGGATAAAGAGAACCGAGCACAGGAAGATCTTCTCATCTCATTTATTCTTTCCCCACAGACAAACCATCTGATGAAGACATGTGCCAGTGTGAGAACGTGATAATGTTTCAAAGCCAGGTCACTGAGAAGCTGAAAAACCTGTTAGAGAATAATATCCTTTTGACCGTACAGTTGCACTAACATTCAATATGTATTTTTTTGTGGTGATCTTTAGCATCTATCAAAGAATCCTCCAGAGCACATAAATACAAAGCTACATGCAACGAATCAGTGTTTAACTGTTTAATATCAATAGAAAAGTACAGTTTTCAGTCTAGGCTCTCACTCTATGAGCTTCTCCAGGGCAGACTGTGCAATGCTAGTGAAGTGACTAACAGTGCAGATGAGTGCAAAAATGATTCATGTGTCAGCTGTGCACTGTGCTGTTTGTAACCTTGGAAACAACACTGGAAAATAACACAGCATGAAACTATGGATTTTCAAGTCCTATAACATTAATGATACATTTCAAACCCTGGTAAACGCCATGACATGTCTCCTGTATTATAATTTTAGAAACAAATGTGTAGTAATAATAATAATAATATTAATAATAATAATAATAATAATGTAATTGGTTCTGAAAGAGTGGACAAGGGCATAACTATACATTAGACTAAAGTGAAGGAATAATAACATTAACTGTAGACAGTTTCTCAGTTTATATTACTTTGTTAAAGTTAAAACTGAATCCACATTGAATAACATATCTAAAGTGATAACTTTTGAGCTCTCCCATGAATCCTGATGTGTTGTTGATGTGTAGTATGAAGGTAAAACAGTGGCTTGAGCTCTCCCTTTTGCTGGAGAAATGCCATATCAGTAAATGGGAAGAAAATATGACCTACAGTATATATAAGTCTATACATGACACATGAAACAGTGTCATGGTTTAACTGGCAAATGATTACTATGAGCATCATTTATGGACAAAAGAAAGGTTGAATGAAATCATTTGGGGAGGCACACCTCAACCAAGAGGTGCAGAGATGTAACAAGAGACATGTGACTGGGCCTTCACACAAAAAAAGTCATCTTCTGTGGTGACTTTAAATTTTTTTAATCAGTAAAAAAGTTTTTATTTCACACTTGCTTTGGCGATGTAAACGTCTGTTTCCCATGTTAATAAAGCCAATTACAACTGAATAGAATTGAGTTTTAAAAAACATGAGGTTATTAAAATGTAAATTCTCTTTAAGATAAGATAAAGCAGGTCTATACAAAAGAAATTTCCAAACTTGGTAGGTTGCCTTTTCAGTTGTACCTGCATCTTTTCTTAACATGCCTACTTGAAGCCATGTCAAAGAAGCTGGAGACACTCGAGAATCAACACGTGCGCAAATGAAAGGCTCGATGAGAGACTCGAGCATCCATCCTCTGACCTGCAGTGTAGCATCAGCAGGAAACCTCTGATCCTGCTCAGCAAGCTGCACTAAAACATATGCAAATGAAATGCTTTCTACTGCTATTTAAACACTTTGTATACAACAAACTTTTGTCTGTAATGTTCTTTTTTTATGTAATGCAAAATCAACTCTTTGCACAGTAAACTGACAAATAAACATTTTACACATTTATGGTTTGTTTTTATTAGACTTTATAACCACTGTAGGGGATATTTAAACAATCTTCACACCATCAGTGGTACTTAACTATTTGTCAGAACAGACAAAGATGTATGTAAGCTGTTCAGTCAGTAATATCCAAACTGCATACTTTCACAGACTCAAAAACAGACTCTATGCAAAAATATATACTACAAACATTGTACATGTGCTACCCTAAACATTACCACCAGGTGGAGGATGTCTTCCAGAGGGGACACTCCTATAAAGGGGAGGACACTCACTTGAAGCACACATGTTTGCCTCCCCCTCCTTTATGAATAGTGTGACTGTGAGCAGGGGACAGTCAGGGAACATTCAGCAGTAGTGCCTGCACTGCTTAGCCTACATGTTCACTGCAGATTTTTGTTTGGGGCACGAGGGCAGCAGACCATGCATAAACACACAGAGAGACTAGGGGAGATAGTGGTGCCCAGCTACTCTTAGGAACTGAAGAGCTGTAGCTGCCCATGCTTTCACTGCTAGACAGTGTCTGTCTTTGCTAACAGAGAGCAGTGGGAATTGTGTTTGTTTCTATCATAAGTTTTTTTTTATTCATCTCAACTCTTTTTTTCAAACATGGGGTGTTCCTCCTCCAGTGCACAGACTGTTGATCAAGAGAAAAGACCAGGCACAAAGCCAGAGGAGAGCAATGGAGACACAGTGGGTAAGCAGTGATCAAGTGTTTTAAAGTGTCATTTATTTTGGCACTTCTGTGTGCTGTACCTGGTGAGTATGAGCTGTACTGTTTTTTAAATACACAGCACAGTTAAATGCACAGTTTCCCTTGTCACTGTTACTTTTATTGAGTCAAGTCTTGCTGAGGTGTGTGTGACTGCTGCCGGTTGGTCTGGAACACTGTGTGCTTTCTGACTCTGCTCTGCTGCACAGCATACTACAGTACCTCATGGAGAGAATTGCTCATGTTAACACGTTTTCTCTTCAATGCTCAGAAGTGGTTGGCTTTTCTTTCTTGACGTCCATTATTACAAGTATGTTTTGTTTTTTTAAAGCTGTAAACTGCCTTGCATGATTTATTGATGAAATGAGACACAAGAAGGAGTCTTGACTCCTTACACAGTATGATCAAGTTTAATTCTCAAAATCATTTCATAAATCTAATAGGGCGTTTATGTGTAGATGGACCTAGACTGGTAGAACTTAGCAAGCACTGCGTACAACCTCTACAGTAGCACTGTGTGAAAACCAGCTGGGAGTGTTTAGCAGTCCATCTGCAGCCCCAGGCAAGAGTTGCAACTTTACCTGTGTGCTGCCACTCTGCATTTGTCTGATTTGAGAGATTTGTTAAGATATTTAGCTGATGAGACTGATGACACCCAAAAAATAGTGTGCACCTTCTTCATGCTTCCAAAGTTTGGATGCAAAGCTTTAGATTATCATCTGTGAATGCATGATAAGGAGTGTTGGAAAGTCGCTCCAGGAATTTAAAGCTCACACTAAACAATGGAGGAAGATGATGGGCTAGGAGGTTCATGCCCTTTTGAAAAGAACCCAAATGTTTTCAGAACACTTTGAAATTCCTCTGCATGGGACATTTTGCATCTTAAGGAGGTGGTATTATGCTTTTTGGCTTTCCCCCTCTCCTTTATTGAGTTATATACCTTTTTTTGCATGTAACAGGTTTGCAAAGTGAAAAAGCCCAAAGTCCAGCCCAAAGGGAGTTCCCATCTCCCACAGAAAACTCTGCTCTGAACTGCCTGAAAACAGATGGTTTGTAGTCCAGCCATTTCCCTTTCATCCCTGTGACATCACAGTGCCTCATATAACGCTCGCCAAGCGGCTAATCCGACACCCCCTCAAAAACACCGGTGGAAAAACATTGAGCTGCAGCGCACAGCTCTCCTCTCCCTTCCCAACACTAGCTACCCTCCAGGCAGTCAGTAGACATAAAGTTGTTACTGTGATGTAGAGACAGAGCTCGGTTAAAACTTTATGGGTGAAAGATACTTTTGTTACAGTTTAATAACTCCGAACTCTTGCCCCAGTCTATGTTGCCAAGCTGGTCGGCAACATGTAGCCTACAGATGAATCGAAGCTGTTTACCGGCTTCTCGCTGACCCGCTCCTCTCTGCTTCTGATTGGCTGGTAGTCCTTAACTAGGAACTGCGCATGTGCAACTCCCAACAACGATCATTTAGAGACAAGCTAAAACGAAGCCTTCAACACACAGGGTGAAAGAGGAGCTGCAGCAATGTGCAGTATGACAAAAATATATGGTGTTTTTTGAAAATTAAACCATGTAAACCTGTTCTGGTGCAACCCCTAAATAGGATTTTGAACCTGAAAATGAGCTCTTTAACACGTCATGCTCTGTGTCATGTTGTCATGCTCTGTAAGTGATCACCTTGGTTTGTTGGGCTTTGCATATGGACTCTGTGTTCAAACCTGGAGACACAGTGGGTAAGACACAGGCCATGATTGTCCATTCATGGGTCCAACCTACTGGCACATGGCTATGTCATGCCAGGCACAGCTGACTGTAAAGTATGTTCTCATTGCTTCTCCCCACATACACATGACATGACAGTTACTGCCCTTGTTAGAAAGTGTTCCTTTGTGCATGTGATTGCTCAAGTTGTGTTAAAACTTTAATTTGATTAAGGAAAAGATGTGGCTTATAGTTTTTGAGCCTGATGTTGAGCCCAAATAAGTGTTATGTACTTATTATACCTGGCATAGTTCCTCTGTACTCATGTACAGCATTTCCATCTTCCACTATGTCACTGTGTGATGTTTGTGTGAGGGCATTGTCTCCCCAGACAGCCAGCTATGGTCACCTGGACGAGTCTCTTTCCAGGCTCTTACATCACCCCAGCAAGAAAACCAATTATTGTACTCTTTGAACAGGCAGGCTTCTCTAAATGTGGCTGAATGGGTGGAGGTTAAAATCTTACAGTGTACAGTCTGTCTGACAAACCAGCTGTATGCCATCCAAGCCACCACTGGTCCCATCCCCTGTCTGGGCCCCCTATCTGTCCCCCTCCCTTACCCACTATGCTCTTGGCCAGCCATGGCACTGTTGTGACTGGGATGTCTGTCATCTCTGGCTGCAAAATCATGTTGACACACGAGTCATCCATGCCTGGAGAAGCTGTCTCTGAATACACATTCACACTTTTCAACAGCAGTTCTGTCCTTTGCAGCTATGTATTCTCTGTGATTGTTGATATATGAGACAGATTTCTGCTTAAAGAACTTCTGGAGACTGATGATGAACATGTTTGAAACCTACAAAAGGAAAGCTCGTTAAGTCAAAAGCCATTAAATGATCTTACAAAACCTCTGCTTTTACACTTGTACACTCTCAACTCAAACGTGATGTTTTTAGAAATATTTCCACCCTTTCCTGTGTTACGTGTCCTTCCACTGGCTCCTTTTCATTGGAGTTGCCACGCCGTCACATTCCCTTCCACCCATCACTCTGCTCTTTTCACCACTTGTGACAGACAAATAAAATCAGGAAGCTGCAGCGTCCAAACTATCCACCCATTCAGCTATCTGAACCCTTCTGGTTCGTCTCATTTGTGAACAGTCCAGCCAGTGTTTTTGCAAAGAAATTAGCTGTGATATACTGTTCAGGGAAACCGTTTTAAAAGAAGCTTTTGTTAGGCTGTTGTGATTCCTGTAACTGAGGTGTATGTTGCAGTTCCTGACATTTGAGTTTAAGTATCCAAGCCCTCTGTTGTTCCTCATCTACTGTTATTTTCACCCAAGCCCTGCTGATGGCTTGTTCACACCCATGGTTATAAGAGCAGGGGTCAGGGAATGAGAACAAAGGTAGGCTGTCTCCCCAAAAGCAAGCAAAGCCATTCTCACGTGTATTTTATTTCCTCTGAGAATGACTTGTGTGTGGTCAGGGCTTTATACAAACATAGGCTTTTATATATTACATTTTCAACTACGGAAATTAAAGGATGTTTTCTCTAGCACGCATTCAGTGTGCCTTATTGCTTTGTTTTCTGTCTCCTGCTGTCCACGATGAGTTAATCTGCTGTTCTGCTGTGTTGTTTATTGTTTGGTGAAACAGAAATTTTAGGAATTTACAAGTATTGTCCACATGCACATATAAATGTATTGCTTTTCATAAGGATTATGTTGTGCTTATATATAAATGACACAGACATTTAGTATAGTATCATATTGAAACCAGTTAATAAACAAACACATTTTATTTAGTCATGAAATTAAGATACAGAAACATAACTGATTGATTCATGGATGGTTGAGTGTCTCAGTTAGGATGCATTTATGAACGCTGATAAAAATGGTGTCATTACAAATGTGAGAAGCCATAAATCCTAATCAAGCTTCTCTTTCCCTGTATGTACAGCAGTCAGAAACGGGATCATTGCAGAAGATGCACAAACCATCGAGGACCAGATGCAGTTGCCTGTGCAGACTGCCTTACCGGATGATCTTCAACCAGGAGCTGATGATGAGACAGAGGTCGTGTTGGTAGCCCTGGAGGCCCAGGAGGATCTTGGCTCTGGGGAAGACCTCCTGGCTCCACCTGAGCCTCAGCCAGAAACTGTCGCCCCTGCAGAACCAGCTCCAGAGGCTACTGAGGAGGCACTACTCCCTGTGGAGGAAGCTGCGCCTGTAGAAACTGTAGTGCCTGAGGCCGATTCTGAGGTCAAGGCTGTTGCTGAGGCTACAGAGGAGGCCCCTTCTGTTGAATCGGTGCAGGCAGAGGCCCCTGCTGTTGTTGAGGAGGCATCTGCTGTGCCAGCTGAGGCCGCTCCAGAGGTCAAAGCACTTGTTGAGGCTACAGAGGAGGCCCCTTCTGTTGAATCTGTTGTAGCTGTGCAGGCAGAGGCCCCTGCTGTTGTTGAGGAGGTGGCTGCTGTGCCAGCTGAAGCCTCTCCTGAGGTTGTTGGCACCCCTGATGTTGAACCTGTTGCATCTGAGCCAGCAGAGGCCCCAGTGGCTGTGGAAGAGGCCGCGTCTGTAGC